TTTTCCGGAACAGAAAAGTCCCGGCAGACGCTTCAGCCTTTCCGCAGAGGGGAGGGGGCCCCCCCCTCCAGTCCCTCGCCCCCCCCCACACACACACACTCCCCTTGGCGAAAGGGTTATCGAGAGAGAGGTGAGTGAGGAGGGGCTCCTGGGTTCAGACTCTTTGTCAGGAGGGAGGCGCCAAGGCAGGACATCACAACCCCAAGACTCCATTCATACAGGCCACCAATGGTACAAAGACCCTGAAAGACAGAGGGCCTCTTACTAGCCAAACACGGGCTCCGCTCAAGGACGCTTCCCCTGAGAAAAGATGTCTTCCAGCAGCCATGGAAGAGTCCCCGAACCTGGCCTCCCTGAACTCTGCAGGCATTCACTCCCCCCACCCCACCCAGGAATGCAATGGCAGGCGAGGGCAAGCGATAAAGATGGCTGGGACTGAAGGAGATACACAGGGCATGATTATACTGAGTTGAAACATTACAGGTGTGACTACACTGGGTTGGGATACAACCGGTAAAGGTTCCCTTGCTCAAAAGCCAGTTGAATCTGACTTTAGGGTTGCGGTGCTCATTTCCGTTTCCAAGCCAAAGAGCCAGCGCTGTCCGAAGACGTTTCCATGGTCATGTGGCTGGCATGACTAAACACCAAGGTGCACAGAACGCTGTTCCCTTCCCACCGAAGCGGTACCTATTTATCTACTTGCAATTTCTTGCTTTCAGACTGCTAGATTGGCAGGAGCTGGAACTAGAGACAGGAGCTCACTCCGTCATGCGGCACACTCGGGTCTCGAACTGCTGAACTACCGACCTTCCACAGCCTGCAGTTCAGCGTCTTGAGCCACCGCAGCTCTGACAACCCCTGAATCACTTAGTTGCCCTCCTCTGTACTTTTTCCAGCTCTGCAATGTCCTTTTTGAGATATGGTGACCAGAACTGTACACAGTAGTCCAACGAGGCCACACCATAGCTCTATACAGCACAGAGGGGCATCTTGGGGCCCCACCCCCACAAAATTCTCTTTTAGAAAACTTTTAAAAACAGGAATTATTTGTATCAATTCAGCTGTGCCCTTCCTCCAGCCACCCTCTGACTTGCTGCACCCTGCCCAGGCACAGCTGCCCCCGCCTCCCCCCCCCCCCCCCCGCTACTGCCCGGCTCTCCCCTCATACTGGCTTGCCCAGGTTTCCTGCAGATGGCTGGGCCAGCAGGTCTTGCTCCTGTGACCTAACGTTCCTGCACCACCACCTTTTAAAAAAAAAAAAATTTTTATTCGTTTTTAAAGAATCATTTACAACAATAAACATCACAATCATTGAACAAGCAACAACAAGAGGATCAAGTTGGATTATAAACTAATCATTTAACAGTAGAAACCATTCTGACACACTCGAACCTTCATCAACCAATCAATAAGGGTAAGGAGTGCTGGTAACTGCACTGCCTTTGTCAATTAGGAGAACATGAGGACTAGATCAGCGCTAGATCTCAGATATAGAAGAATTCTCTGTGTGTTTCACTGTATGTGAAAAAGAGAGCTAGAGTAGCTAGAAGAAAAGCCAAGAAGAGTAAGCTATATTAGTAGGAAGAAGTTCTGCCTCTGTCATATACTGCAGCCACGGAAACCACATGCGGACAAATTTTGAATAGGTCATGGCACCCTGTGACCTCGCCAGCTCCGCCCTCCCTGTTCCCATGCCGGTATGATTGAACGGCTCACTTGGCTTGTCGGTGGCTGATCCTGACCTGGAGAATGGTCGGCTGCACCTCTTTTCACGGGTGGGGTGGGGTGGGGTGGGGAAGAGCTACAATCCATGTTGAAATACAACTCACCAACAATAAAACTTTCTTCAAATACATTAGGAACAGGAAACCAGCCAGGGAGGCAGTGGGGCCCTTGGATGATCAAGGGGTAAAAGGAGTGCTGAAGGATGATAGGGAAATGGCTGAGAAGCTAAATGCATTTTTTGCCTCCGTCTTCACTGTGGAAGATGAGAAGTGCTTGCCCACTCCAGAACCACTGATTTCAGGAGGGGTGTTGGAAGACCTGAGTCAGATTGAGGTGACGAGAGAGGAGGTCCTAAAACTGATAGACAACTTAAAAACTGAAAAATCACCAGGCCCAGATGGCATACATCCGAGAGTTCTGAAAGAACTCAAATGTGAACTTGTAGATCTCCTGACAAAGATATGTAATCTTTCCTTAAAATCTGCCTCCATTCCTGAGGATTGGAAGGTAGCTAATGTCACTCCCATCTTTAAAAAGGGTTCCAGAGGAGATCCGGGAAATTACAGGCCTGTCAGTCTGACGTCGATACCGGGTAAATTGGTGGAAACCATTATTAAGGAAAGAATTAGTAGGCACATAGATGAACAAAACCTATTGAGGCAGACTCAGCATGGGTTCTGTAAGGGAAGATCTTGTCTCACTAACCTGTTAGTGTTCTTTGAGGGGGTGAACAAACGTGGACAAGGGAGATCCAATAGATATTGTTTACCTTGACTTCCAGAAAGCTTTTGATAAAGTTCCTCATCAAAGGCTCCTAAGTAAGCTCAAAAATCATGGGATAAAAGGACAAGTCCTTTTATGGATCAAAAACTGGCTAATTAATAGAAAACAGAGAGTGAGTATAAATGGGCAGTTCTCTCAGTGGAGGGGGGTAAGCAGTGGGGTACCGCAGGGATCAGTACTTGGTCCACTGCTTTTTATCTTGTTCATTAATGATTTGGAGTTGGGAGTAAGCAGTGAAGTGGCTAAATTTGCGGATGATACAAAGTTGTTCAGGGTGGTGAAAACCAGTGAGGATTGTGAGGCACTCCAAGGGGATCTGTCAAGGATGGGCGAGTGGGCGTCAACATGGCAAATGGGGTTCAATGTGGCCAAGTGCAAGGTGATGCACATTGGAGCCAAAAATCCTAAATATAAATACACGTTGATGGGGTCTGAACTGGCAGAGACTGATCAAGAGAGAGATCTTGGAGTTGTAGTAGATAACTCACTGAAAATGTCGAGACAGTGTGTGACTGCAATAAAAAAGGCCAATGCTATGCTGGGGATTATTAGGAAGGGTATTGTAAACAGATCAGCCAATATCATAATGCCCCTATATAAACCAATGGTGCGACCTCATTTGGAATACTGTGTGCAGTTCTGGTCACCATACCTTAAAAAGGATATTATAGCTTTGGGAAAAGTGCAGAAAAGGGCAACTCGAATGATAAAGGGGTTGGAACACTTTCCGTCCGTATGAGGAAAGGTTAAGGCGCTTAGGGCTCTTTAGCTTGGAGAAACGATGACTGAGGGGTGACATGATTGAGGTTTATAAGATTATGCATGGGAAAGAGCAGGTAGAGAAAGAGGTACTTTTCTCCCTTTCTCACAATACAAGAACTCCTGGCCCCACTGCTGGACCTCCTGAGGGCCCCTGGTGTTTTTGGCCACTGTGTGACACAGAGTGTTGGACTGGATGGGCCTTTGGCCTGATCCAACGTTGGCGTCTCTTATGTTGTGTTTAAAGAGCTGCTGCCAAGTAATTCATGATTTCTTAAATATAGTGTCATTTATTTTTTTTATTTGGGGGGTGGTCTGTCCCAGAAGAAAACAATATGCCCCACAAGCCAAAAACAAGCCAACTTCAGACCCGGAGTTGGGGATTTTTTCCCCCCACCCGCTTTAGCGGTCCACCCTCCGCCTTGCTTGTCACCCTCCTGAACAGGTGGGATGGATGGCCTTAAAGGTCCCTGCGGCACGGGGACACGCCGGGCTTCCAAACAGCCGCCGCCGCCGCCGCGCGCTCACGGGGGAGGGGGAGGGGGTGTCTTCCCTGCCCACCCTCCAGCCCCCG